AGTAAATGCATTCCTGTAGCCAGGTTCTTTCAATGTGGTGGGGGTGTGGTGGTGTCTCTGGGCATGGCGTCCAGGAACGAAGCCCCGCTGGGATAAGAAGATTTTTGTGTTTATGGGTTTAAATAATGCTATAAAAAACATTCTGCCTGCATATGGGTGGGCCTGTAGTGCATTAGTTGAGCTTGAGTAATTCCTAGAGGGTGGTGGGGGTGGGGGAGTTCGTTAGATAAGAGGGGGTTTGCTAGAAAAGGGGATGTATGCCTGAGCCATCAATCGGGCCTGAAATACATCAAATACAATGTTTTAATTTATATTTTCTATAGTACCGTACATCAAAAATATTACCCAACATCTTATCAGTAAGTGAATATAAAACAACGTTTATCTTCCCCTCTAACCATATTGTTCGTCAGGCATTTTTTTTTAAAGCAATTGTATTTTCTAGGCTTTGATGATGGTTGTTGAACAACGGTGTCAACGCAATTAATATGAGAGTTTAAAAAATAACAAAATGAATAACGTACGTTGTTACCTATTTTTATCAGATTGATGGGAATAACACAAATGCAGCATTTCAATCGCTGTGTGACTTGATTGAGCATGTTCCATACGAAGGTGAAGAGATTTATTTTTACGATCACTCTCTTTTTAATTTAAAAGCGTAAGTCTAGATGCATTAGAGTAAGATGAACTAAAGGGAAGAGCGATCAACAGTAAAAGTTGTGTTTGCCTTCCAATGGTAATTAACTCCTCAACAAATGCTATGTATTCACGAAGGAAAACAGCTAAATATTTTACGTTATAACGTACGTCAAATTTTTTCTTTGATGAAACTAAGTACAAAACAAAATGCTAAATTTCAAGTCTCCTTCGATTCCAACCAGGCAATGCAACCGTGTTTCGTAGGCCGTTTAATGTTATGACACTGTTACCCAAGAATTTAGATGACTATTTTCGCTACGATGGTTCCCTGACCACACCAGATTGTCACGAAAGCGTTGTGTGGACTGTTTTCAACGAACCGATCAAAGTTTCACAAGATCAGGTAAGATCTATGATAAATTTTGCCGGTTTTATTTTGCCATTCCTTGGTTATTTTAAGCCGGGCACTCACTACGCCTGACGGCCGTCGACCGATGCGACTCTACGAGAACGGAACTCCACGACACGCACGCACGCAACGAAACGTTTGTCCTAATGTCGATCCGTTCAGACTGCCGCCGACAATCAACAGGCGGCGTCGCGTCGTCTAACGCTCACAGGGAGCGGAGTTGGATTCGTCGACCAACGGCCGACCGATCGTCGTACGACGCAGTGAGTGCCCGTTTTCATGACATTACGACGCACGCGTTATAAACTACATCATCATCATCATCCTTCGTCCGCAGCCCTGATGGATTTGACAACTTTCTGCCAGGTGTTTCGATCGTACATCGCCTGGCCAAGTTTCGAGGGAAATTTCAGTGTTTCTGGAAATAACGTCGGGGTAGGCGAAAGGACGTCTGCCTCTAGTAGTGGGGATACGCCTTTGTAGTAGATCAGATATTATTTGGTCTTCAGATCCCCGACAATTTGTAGGATTGGTTAAGTCCTACTAGAGTAATCTTGATACTATGTTTTTACATAAGCTACTGACAACTGTATGTCGAGTTGGTTATTTACATAGAGACCTACATAATTTGTACTATATTTTTTGGCCTTCAAGTTTCTGAACGATAGTAGAATTGTGTACTCTTCAAATGCTAAAGAATGTGTTTCATTCTAACAGGTCGTCTACAGAGATCACTCTAATTTTAATATTTCTCGAGTAAATATTCATTCTTTAAAAAGTAATATTTATTTTTAAAATAGTGAAAAATTAGTGAAACTTATTCTGAATTTCACTAATTTTTTTCTCTATACTGTAAGCACTCTTTCAGTTTTTTTTGTTTTGTTTTTTTTTTTTCACTCTTTTGCAATTAGTGTAGTCCTAAGCAGTGGTGGCTCCTGTATTTACTCGAAGAGGAGGGGTCCCAAAAAAATCCCTAAAGGTACTGGGCCATGCGAGAGAATCATGATAGTTTGGATGGAGAACCAAGAGGAATTAAAGCCCCAAGAGTCAGCAGCAAATGCCCGGTGGTGGTCTAGGTTGCTCAGATCTTGGAAGATTCGACAAAATGCATAAAAATACATAAGACTATCGTCATCCAAGCTTTAATAGACTCGGCGATTGCGCTGTGACATCACTGTGTAGCGATTTTATTGAAAACAGAATGTTTATACATGATTTTTCTAATTCAATTTCGTTATATTCGGGAGGTGCGTCATATACGTGCGTCATAAAAGCATACACGTTTTTGTCAGCGATATACTTGACAAAGGTTGATAACCGAAAACGTTTGCTCACTTGAATAAATTATATATCTGGCAACTTATTACCATCTCTCCGGAGTTTTTGTTTTTTCTATCTTGTTTGCCAATGCAGCCCTCCAGTTTATATATATATACATATATATATATA